TTGTGCACAAAGACTCAGAAAGCAAAGGAGGAAATTTTTTTCCTAGGCTTCTAGCAAGGTTTCCTTTCACTGCAGGGAAAGCGTGCTAGATATCTCTGTACGAAGCCAGCAAGCAAAACCAGCCAGTTTGTTCAAGCATTTAGCTGTGCATCTGATGGTACCATCGCTTCCGATTTCAGACATGAAACCACTTCTAATGCTACTAGAAGGTGAATGCTACACATACACTTACGAAGGCCCTTTTTGCTGACGCTGAAGTGAAGCTAAGTAGCAAGGAGGCTGGGACCACTCCTCTTCATCAACGCAAGTCGGAACAAAGGAGCGGTGTATGTATGTGCGCTGTTTTTAAAGGAAAAACATTCAGCATGTCTGTGATAATCAGGATCTGTGGCTTAAACTGCTGAGTTCAGGGTATAAAATGGTCCGAGCCACTCTACCCAGCTGTGACGCGAAGATCACTGTGGGTAGCACGCACGGAATACAACTGGTATTGCGAGATACCCATCACACTCTGAGTCCTAAGACAAACCATGTAAAATTTCTTTGCACATCTACAGCAACAGCTAGTGATTATTTTTTTCTTTGAACTTTGTCCAAAGTTCATCTCTAAAACAAACTGTAGTCAAACTGCGCGTATTGACTCCTCAGCAGAATAAACATGCCGAATCTCTAATAACCAGAAAGATAAAACCCAGTGAAATAAACATGCTTTACTCGGTATTTATTTTTCTGGTGCCTCTATCAAAAACTCTGAAGGACAAAAGCAACTCTGGTCTGATGGTTTTCAGAGTAAGCCGACTCCTCTTCCTGCTGCAAACCCTAACTGAAGGTAAAATTAAAATCCAGGCTGTTGTCTGTGTTGTAACACTCGGCCTCCACGACTTGAACTGCCGGTAGTAAAAGTTTACATGGAGGGGAAAAAAATCTGAGTATTGGGGCTGGGATTTTCAGAGGGGTTTAAAAACTGGTTATGGACTCGAGGCAGGAGGGGTGAGAGGAGGGAGGGGGCTGGACGGTCCCCCAGCCCCAGGAGAAATCTCAGTAAACTAACGTGCAGATCTGACAGTAATCGACCTGATCCCCGATTTACTTGATCTATTGAGTGGCCGTAGAAGTAAAGTAGAAAGACGTATAAAAAGCAAATATATATTAATTAACAATTGCGTAATATTTTTATTATACTAACCAGAACGCTTCTCATCACAGTTGGACACGTTAGAAAACCTGCTGTGACGGCTGTTAGATGTTTGGTAGTCCCGTGCACGTGACCTTACCTGTTAACCCATGAACGGTGCACCTACCAGGACCTATTTGATGAGCACCCTGGTATTTTCTCCGTGTTTATTTTTTTAGTATTCCATCAACCCCGCTGTTCAGAATCATACCTGGCTTGCCAAAAAAAAAAAAAAAAAGAGGAAAAAAAAAAGGGGGCGTAGGAGAGATTGCCTCAAAAATAAAAAGCCAAACAATGTGACAGTAAAAAAAAAAAAAAGGCATTTTTGGATGACTCTATTTGCTTCGTACCTTTTCCTTTTTGTGCCTTTAAGGTTTGTGTCTTCAAGTTCATATCTACAAACCCACAGGCTAGAAACCTAACTAAAAAAAAAAACAAACCCGAGTTTCTTGCATAATTGTCTAAGTCCAGGAGCTACAGCTTTAAGAAAGGCACCAAACGTTGTAAAGTTCACAATTAAATCACACACAACTTGGCAACCAACTGATGGAAAAAGAAGTGGAAAATTAACAGTAATTAAATAAACAATGGCTTGGTAGCCCAATTTTTTGACAGTTGAGAGGGAACCTTGCTGTAAATCGCCGCTCACATTGAGCACACCAGAATCCTCCAGATGATAAAACTCTGCATTACTGCCCAATTACGACGAGTCCCCGAGTTACTCATCATGACTGCTTTATGGATTCAGTTTCACAACGTAATAATGAGTTCATCGTGGTTTCCTGAAGCATCTGCGGAGATAATGCAAACACTTACTTTTCTTCCCAACTTGCGAACATTTTGAAGAAATAAAGCGATGCAAAAGGCTGTTAAAAAAAAAAGATCGGTTTTGCATTGCATCAAACCCGGCTTTCTGTGAGAGCTCATGCAAATCCCGCAGCGTCCAGGACACGTCCCGCTGCTTTAGCAACGGTGGCTCCAATATAAAGGCGAGGTTTTAAGTGTTTCTGAGGCTCTGGAGACTTTCAGAAGCCGGAGGCGCGCAGGGGCTGCGCGCCATGCCGGCAGCCGAAGCTAGTTTATGGCAGATGAGCAGCGATCCCGCACGGGTTGGCCGCTTGGGTTTGGGCAGCCCCCAGCAGCCCATTGTGCTGCTG